AAAATTTGTTCCTTAAGTTTTCTGTACAGAAGACAGAAATCTAAGAATTGTGATGCATTCCCCCTTTTAATTCCTAATTGCTGCTACTTATGTTGTCATACTATATTATTCAGTTTTCCCTGCAGTCAAAAATAAAAGAACTACTAAGGAAAATGTACTGTGGAACAGTACAGATGGCTGAATTCCGTCTGTACTGGAGTTTGGTGTTTGTTGAAGCTTTTAGAATGGTAAAACTGACAGCTTCCTCTTTGCCCTTGTCCACAGATAGCCAAGTACATCTGTAGGTGCAAAAGCCACAGGGCGTATTAGACAAGATTTCTGAATTTCACTATTGCTTCTACCACTTGATCTCGCCCTTAGTCTAGAGAAAATACATAAAACATCAAACTTGTGCTTCTGGGTTTTTAATAAAGAGGTCAAGGTTCAGTGGGTTTATTAGAACATGGTAAGTCTACCTTTGTCTGCATTCAGCCAACGTTTGTTTGAAACACCTCTTAGGGTCCAGGTAGTATGCTTCACTAGTGTTAAATGTTATGAAAAAAGAAAAGGCAGTGGTAGTATCATAAAACTCCTCTGACATTTAACATCCTCTAATCACCAGAAAGATTATCCAGAACCTGCGTGTGTGTGTGTGTATGTGTGTTTTTGGACACGTGGTCCTGAGTACAGATTCTTTAGTGCCAGTGATATGACATTCTTTATGGTTTCATCTTAAAACTTTTCTTCCAGAAATAAGCCTATCAAGGACACATCTTCAAAATCTAGCTGCTGAGAGTGATAGCTAGAGGGAGGTTAGGAATTTACATAAAGCACTCACTATTACAGCTTCTACATACTCCTTCTTAGCTGGTGATTTGCCATGAAAATATTTTTGTGATAAGAACCTTGCCATTTCTGCATTCGGACTACTTGGATTTGCATACCAGTTTTGCCACCACATGACTGAAAAGAGGTTATTTACACTCTCCGGTCCTCAGTTACCTCATCTGTATAATGATGAGAAAAGTAATACATACATATCTCATATGGTGGTATAAGGATCATGAAGTGCATTCAAAATTGAATTATGTGTTTATGGTTCAGTCTTTCATTTTGCTACTAAAGTGGATTAAGATTAACTGATCATCTGCTTTGACCCTACTCCTAGACCCATGGAAGTCCAGCTCTTCTAGCCTCTGAGATAAACCAAATATACACAATGTACAGGCCCTTTATGAAGTGGAATCTTAATTGTAAACCTTTCTTTGTTTTTTAATTTTAAACCCCTTTGTAAGCATTTGATTTTTTTATTCTAGAGAATAATGAAAATTAAAGACAAATTAAGCACGTTTCAGTTTGCTGGTGACATTATTGAAATAAACTTTGCTCCCTTAATTTTCTAACAGTAGGGTCTTGCCCATGCCTTTAAAGCATTAGATAATGTAAGGTAGGAAAAATTAATCAACTTAAAAAATAAAAGGTTTCCCTGAGTTTGCACAAAGTATTTCACCTTGGGAATTAACATGATATAGGCCCTTATGCCATCTCTGAAATACAGCAAGTTTCTTAAACTATTCATCTGCTAATGGATCTTGTCTCTCTGGCTATGAGTTTTGGAGTGAAAGTAATTTTGAAATCTCAAGTAATGTGACAAGATTCTAATCATGGAATTCCAACCAATCTTAAAAAAAAAAAAAAGTTGTAATGTTATTCATGTTCTTGAGTCTGTATGTCAAAGTGGCAGTTTTAAGTACACTCACATACATGCAGAGAGGGAGAGAGAGAAGAGCCAGAAAATACATTTTTTCCCCAAAAATATAACTTAGCCATGAAATTATGAGACCTGAGATGCCTGTATGCTTGGACTCATTGTCCTCATTTCTTCACATCTTCTTGTTGCAAATGCCCTAAATACTTCAGCATTTGTGCACGCAAGTCCCTTAAAATAAGTACAAATAACTTTTTTCTTTGTATAATTATTAAATCTTTTGCTCCCCTGGCTAAGTTAAATGCTCCTGAAGAACAGGAAGTATGCCATCTATGTTTGTGGATCTTTCTGTGATATACAAAATACACGTTTGTTGTTAATTGACTAGAATATAAGGATAAAAAGAAAGGTAGCCGTACCGGAAAGTGTTTCTGATATTGAGGAAGGTATTCAGAATCAATGCATACATGGAATATAAATTGAGCCACAAGTGAAATAAATAGAAAGTACAAAGATCAGTTAATGGAGGAACGGGAGGGTGGGGGGCATGGCAGGAGAGGGGAGAATAAAAATAACTGCCCTGAGAAAAGAAGGAGTCAAGGACTTTTTCAAAAATTACTCACAAAAACATCATAGTCAAAAAACAGTATGTAAACACATGCAAGGAAAGGGATGGTTTCATGTAGTCACGTGATTGATTGAAAATGTTAAGCAAAACTATTTACATAACATGCTGCATTTGACAGTAGGGCAAGAGATCATTTGCTTATTTTGAGCCCAAAATGAGTTTTAACATACTTACCTGATCTGGGTTCCGAAGATCACTTCTAAATGAGAAAAATTATGGGACCAAAAAAAAGGAAATAAAATTTTAATACTGCAGGTATTACTTGAGTGTGTTTATGAAGAGGATTTTGTGCAATGCATAAAATTTTGCTTTAAAATCATCAGGGCATTGCTTTATATTTTATTGTTCAGGAGTAAATATAATTCCTGAGAAAACCTCTAATTTTATTATTTAAATGATATAGCATATACAGTGGCTAAAACTGCCTGCTCCTAAGCCTACGTGTTGTGGCCGACAGTAACAAACACATCATTTTGATGAATCTTTCCTACACGTGAAAACAGTAAATGGAGTCATTTAAAACACATGGCAGTGTAAGTGAGCACATGAGACCTAAAGACTAACAATAATATAAATGTTAAGCAGAAGGAACAAAATACTAAATCCTTTCAATGGACTCTGAAAAAGAAGACTTTATGAACTTGAGGAAACAGCACGTAGACTTCCTTTTCAGAATGGCAAAGTGAAGGTGTTTCTGCCCTTGTCAAAAGTCTCATTACAAAAGTAAGGATATGAAGAAATAGAAAAACTGATTTACACATGTCAAAACCAGAAGATATCTGTTACTCCAACTCACAGAACATTGGAAAGTGGTAAAATGACTCGGAACAGAAAAGGTGAAAATCAAGGACCTGCCAATGGGATAGCGATAGCAATAGAATACCACTCACCCTGCAAAATTCTGGAAAGGCTTTTGCATTGGAGTAATTAGCTCAATTACTGTGGAAGGAGCGGTTGGATGGGTACACTGAAAGTGTCTGTAAGAAAGGGTTAAACCCTCAGCCCTCTTTCTCCATACCTGCCTCTTCCCCAGAACCCTGTGAAAGACATAAAGTATATGTTCTGGGGGAAATTACATCAGTGAGGCTCTGGATTGGATATGCCAACCAGAGAACAGCATCTCCCTGTTCAGGGAGATAGGAGATTTCAAATAGGAAAGTTAACTGAGAAAATAGTGAACTCCTCCAGAGAAAAAAATACACAAAAATTAGCTGGGTGTGGTAGTGTGTGTCTGTAATCCCAGATCCTCGGTGGCTGAGGTCAGAGGATCCCTTGAGCCCAGGAGGTCAAGACTGCAGTGAGCTATGAATGTGCCTCTGCACTGCAGCCTGGACAACAGAGCAAGACCCTGTCTCAGAAAAAGAAAAAAGAAAATCTTAACATACTCATAATTGAAAGACTCCCCATTCTACAAAATGAGCCAGTTGACTACTTACAATTTCGTTGTTTATCTTACTATTTTATTATTTAATTCTCAGAGTAAGTATTATTTGTGATATTTAATGCTATATGATGCACTGGTAACTGACAAACCCTGAAATCTTATAGCTAACACAATAGAGGTTATTGCGTGACTCATGTGAAGTCCACTATGGTGGGCAGCTCTCATCTTAATCTGGTAGTTATGCCTTCTGGAGCAAGTGGCCATCAGGGCCTTCATGGCAGAGGCTGGGATAGAAGGGGGAACACACAGGTTCAGCTGTCTCATTCCAGAAGTGAACACTCTCAGAGTCCATTGTTCAGAACCTTTCACAGGGGAGAAGTAGGGAAGCGTATGGAATATTGAGTGGCCACCAACTTCCCTGCAACTTTGTGCAAATTTATGTCCAGGCTCTTGAAGGACACTTCACTTTCTTCCCATGCATCAGCCATAGGGTTTATTGTTTCTTTCATTGAACAGCTAAAATCTGTTTTAAATTTAAGAGCTAGCACCTGTTGCCTGCCTAAGATGTCTGGCATTGTGACAGGACTGAAAATACAGAGATGCCTGTAACATATGCAGTCTCTGGTCTGAAGGGTATTTTACCATTTACCCTTTTATTTCACATTTCCTTTGAAATAATGTTCAGATTATTTTCTCAATGTTCACAGGTGGGTGCAACAGTGATTAGCTCATTAAAGACTATATAATAAGTTATTGACTTATGATCAACAGGACATTGTGTCCCTGTTGCAAATGTTTAATTTCAGATATTTCTCCCAAATCTTGAGTGTCACTCCTCTTTCCCTTTTAACCGAAATAATTGCTGAGAACTCTTTTCTTCTTTATAACGGCAACATTTGAGAATCTCTAATATGCTCCATAGATAAGTAACTGCAAATTCATCTATTTCTCAGTATTACCTTGTGGTTTATTTCTGATGTTCACTGAAGCAGGTTTGTAAATTAATATGAAATGCTCTATTGAAAGTTTCACAGCATATCAGTTGAAAGCAATTATCCAGGAAGAGTTTTTGTATCTGAGTCAGTCTTGCAAATGCATCTCATATACTTTTTGAAATGAAATAATTGATTTCAAAAGATACATTTATCTCGGAAATACTATTATATCTGTTCTTATTTGACTGTCTAAATCTACAGCTTGAACTGCTTCTTCCAGTGGTGCATCTGATCTTTAGTATGTGGATTCTGAGAGTATTAATCAATTTTTTATAATGTTTGGTTTCCTTATGTTTTCTATTTCAGAGTACCCGAGTGGCCTTGGACCATCTGGAGTCTGTGCCTGAGAAACTGAGCCTACTAGAAGATTTCAAAGACTTCAGAGTGAGAAGGAGTTGGCTTGTCTCTTTCAGTATTTTTATCTGAGTGAGAACACTTGACATCTTCCTGATGTGCAAAGAAAAGTATAGAGAAGGAAGAAGGATGAAAAAACCTTGGGAACTTTTAACATACCATCTTATCAGAGTTTATTGACATTTGTGAAGTTAGAATTGAAAACAATGAAACATATATTAGCACAAGATCAGAAAATAGAGACTTTTACTGTACTACTAGAAGCTTAGTTGGTCCCATAAAGCTTTAACAATAATTTAGAAAAGCCTAAGAATTAAAGGGAGTTACACATTATACTGTCAGTAGACAACTTGTTCGATTAGCAATTTTAATTTGGGAATTATTTGGGTACTGCTTGTTTTAGAGATATGGTAGTTTACAGGTTACCTTTATATTATGACACATGAATTCAAATCCACATAAAGTTTCACATTTCATATTTCATGGCCATTTATTGATAGAACTCTAACCACAAAGCATTTCATTATCAAGCTAATTAGTTACATGTGTTAATTTACCTTGTGTGATTTTTTAAATTCCTCATAGAGGAGATATGCAAAACAAATATCTCTGCTGCCAGTCCTGCCAGACAAGATCTGATCCAGAGAACATCACGTATACCCTTAGGGCTGCATATATAATGTAAAATTTTAATGATTTATCATTTATTGACCTCACATAGCTGAAACTAACAATGGGAGGATTTCTTTTCGGCAACTGTGTAATCATATTTCACATTGCCCTTAAAATATAACTCATGTTATATTTAGGCTCTGTTTAGATCTGACATATTATTCAAAGATACAGTGTACAGGAAAATAACCAGATCATGCCATATTGGTTGATTGGAAGCACTGATATGATGGGGTTCCCAAGGTCTTCATTATCTTAAAATTACCTTGCATTAAGCATCTTTTGCTAGTTCAGTAACAAATATTTTTGAGAGAGATCCAGTTTAGCTGACACCTCTGGTAAGCTAGACCATCCCAAATTGAACAAAATCAAGTGTTTAAAATATATTTTCCTAAAGTTGTGATTCTTTCTCATGATTTGCTATATATTTGCAGTTTAAATAGCTATCAAAGAATTATGAAACCATGCCCAAAATAATGCCATTTCTCTTTACTCTTAAACAACCCGATGTGATAGCCGGCAATATGTTATGCCCGTAGTCTTTTCATTTTTTTTTCTCTTGTAACTAACAGAAATTCTCCAAGTAAATGAAGGGTAGACAACAGAAAGAATGGGAAGCAGGTGGCACTTGTCACTGAGAAATAGAAACCTGTCTTATACCACTATAAAAATATAGTTTAACCTCCAGAAACAGATTACTTTTCCCCAGTTGTCTACACTGAACAGAATGTTCATAAGTACAATTTAAAAATTGTATTCTCTACTATTACCAAAAGGCTAGTTATTATTATTTTTAATCCTATGAGCTAGTGATGGTCTACAAGTCTAGCTCATGTACATTTTTAGGGAGACTCTTTTTCAGAGTTCAGCATTGTACTTTCCAATATATTAAAATTGAAACCTTTAGCTTGAAAAGGAAAAGAGTTGATTAGCAAGTGTCATGCCCTCACTGCATAATACTTAGCAGGTGCTAAGTACTTTATGGTACATGTTTCCTAGTCTTCCAATACCCTATAGATGGGTGTTATTTTTGCCCATTTTATAGATGAGGACACTGAAGCTTGGAGCCCATAAACTAGCTGGAGGTGGGATCTAATTCTGTGCAAAATAGCACAGCCCATCTGCTTCGCCCTGCTGCTTTTAGCTTAAAATCCATTCTACGTGTATTCTAAAGCTCTCTATGTGATTTAAAAGAGCTGATTTCAATCAACTTAATAAAAATGACTAGACATAGCCTTAAATGAAAATACATGAAGCCTTGAGATTATTAGATGTAGATTATATTTATTCAAACCCTTTAAACATTCAAAAAATCAGTGTGGTGTGAACAGGAATGCAAAGACCTAGTTCTTGTCCAAATTCATGCACCAGACAAGTCACTTAATGTCTCAGGAGATATGACCACATTCATGTGAGGCACTTGAACAATATTATCTCTGGGTTCCTGTATACATATTTCTCGATAGTACCATAGCCTATGACTTAAGTGTGAGTACAGACCTCATCCTATTTAGATAGGCTTGACTTTATTCTTGTTTAAATGTGGTCATATTCATTTTGAAAGAATTGTTGGCCAAGCATGGTGGCTCGCACCGGTAATCCCAGCACTTTGGGAGGCCAAGGTGGGCGAACCACCTGAGGTCAGGAGTTCGACACCAGCCTGACCAGCATGGAGAAACTGTGTCTACTAAAAATACAAAATTAGCTGGGAGTGGTGGCACATGCCTGTAATCCCGGCTAATCGGGAGGCTGCGACAGGAGAATCACTTAAACCCAGGAGGCGGAGGTTGCATTGAGCTGAGATCATGCCATTGCACTCCAGCCTTGACAAGAGCGAAACTCCATCTCAAAAAAAAAAAAAAAAAAAATAGAATTGTTTCAGCTCTACAATTCCATATTTAAACCGTACATTTTTGATAAGGTGGAAAGGGAATAGCACTGGATTCCAAGCCTAATCTGCCACAAATTGTCCAGCCCTGGGTAAATCATTCTTAACTTCCCTGAGCTCTAGTTTTTTAGATGTTTTTGTGTTGTGCTGTTTTTGTACTAAGCATGAGAACTTCGGAATTATAATACCCCTTCTAGCTTGAACATTCAATAAGTTTAAGGTTTCTTGGGACTTTGAGGGACACTAAATCCCATATATGTTTTTTTTTTTTTTACATGCCAAAATCAATTGTCCTCATTCTTTTTCTAATTTCTCCCTAAATAATAATAGAAATGTCTAAATAATTGTCTATAGTAACTGTTTGCTGGGTTCCTTCTTCCTGCAAGAAATGAAGAGAAAAAAGAAAAAAAGGCAAGCCCTGGAAATTTTTGTTTTCTTAATTTTTGTTATTACCTGAATCATTTTATGCTTTTAAAGGCAAGGGAGCTATCCTTAAGTTTAAAAATTTATGTGACATAATAGTTAAAAGATAGGATGTTATTTATGGATAAGTGAAGTAAAAGGGTTCTAGTTTTGCAGGTAACAATTTTTAAAAACAAGAATATATTGATGCCAAGTAGCAATCCAAGGGATAGTACACAGCATCCAAATGTGGCATGTATCAACAGTGACATCTTTGGATAGCACATTGCTACTTGAACCCCTTGTTCCAAAGGGTATCAGTCACTATAGATTGGCATAGGGACTAGTTGTTTAAAAAATTCAGGTAACCATTGTGGGATGCATTGTATATTTTATGGGTTTATCCATAGTACCAATTTGTTTCTTTTTCTATTTCTTTTTTTTTTTTTTTTTTTTTTTTTTTTAAGACAGAGCCTCATTCTGTCATTCTGTCACTCAGGCTGGAGTGCAGTAGCACAATTTCACTGCTACCTCTGCCACCTGGGCTCTAGTGATCCCACCACCTGAGCCCCCTGAGTAGCTGGGACTACAGGCATGCACCACCACATCTAGCTAATTTTTATATATTTTATAGAGGTGAGATTTCCCCACGTTGCTTAGGCTGATCTCAAACTCCTGCACTAGAGTGATCCTCCCAGCTCAGCCTCCTAAAGTGCTGAGATTACAGGTGTGAGCCACTGCATGTAGCCTTCTTCTTTCTCTGTGATAGTCTATGATTCTTCTATATATCTATAAATTCTTGTAATTATTTATTATTTTTATCTATGTATAAACTCTTTCTTATTCTAATTTCAAGCACCAATTTTCTTTTATCTACCAGTTCAGACCCTTTGTTTTTTTTCCAGGATTCCTGCAGTTCATCTGAGAGAACTGATGGAAGATATTCTAAATACAGGGTTCGCAGAAATTCTCTTCAGCATCACCAAGACGACACCAAGTACAGAACCAAAAGTTTCAAAGTAACGTTCTTTATATACATTTTTAGTCTTTAAGTAGTATCCATGTTTAAGGCTACAACCTCTTAAGCAGCCTCTGCAGTATTTGTGTAAGGGCACTTGCAAAATAATATATTTTCCTTGATATATTAAATAGATTTTTAATTCTGTGGAAATAGAGAATAAAAATCCAAAGTTTGTGCTTATCACATTTTGTCTGGGAACTAAACCTTAAGTCCAAGCCATCACTGCTTGATATGTTATTTGTTCATGAGAACTGGTGCTATTTAAGAAATCTGAGCCAAGAAACCCCTGGTCACATGATTGGGCAAAATCTTAGTGTGATGATCACCTTCTTCTAGGTGTAAGTCCGGCTGCTGTCCACACTGAAGTCTGCAGTAGGACAGATCATATAGCGTACTTTGGAATTCTAATCATTTTCTTCTCGAGGATATGAACTCCCTGTTAATACTTCAGCTTTTGGTTTATTACCATGGAGCCAGCACAGTATACTGGGAAGATTTAACCATATTAACGAAATGTATGCATTCTCTAGAGCCTACCCAGTATCCATCTGGGATATGGGTGATTTAAATTCACTGGACCTTGAGCAGCTCTTAGTTCAGAGCAGGGTTTCTCAACCTTGGCATTATTGATATTTGAAGCCATATAATTCCTTGTTGTAGAGGCAGCCTTAGGCATTGCAGTATATTTAGTTGCATCCCTAAAATGTACTCACTAGATGCCAGTAACATCTCCCATCTCAAGTTATAACATCCAAAATCATCTCCTGACATTGCCAAATGTCCCCTGGAGGGCAAAGATGCCCCCTGTTGAGCATGCTGACCCAGAGAGAATCCATGTGTATTCAAATGTGCACTCCATGTCAATTAAAGAAAAAACTAAAGGTTTTCTGGCTTTTTTATATTCTTACAAACTTGAATATGTGTGAATATTCATTACACTGTATATATTCACTTATTACAGCGAAATATAATTATTTCTAAGAAGCGTCTTTCTGAATGTAATTGGATAAAATGCTCAGTGGATAGAAAGACAGTGTTCATTTCCATAAGTCCTTCTTAGCATGTTTAAAATGGACACTATACTTCCTCCCTTCCAAATAAAAATTAACGCAATTAGGACAGGTTATTGATGTACTTAGTATGAAGAGAGCATCCTGTGATGTTGTTCCTTTTTACTTTTTCTTTTAAATAGATTGGCATATTCACTGTAGTAGTGACCTTGTCTCTTACAGCAATTTTTAAGTTCCCTAAATCATCTTCCAACATTCCCAGTCAGGTTCCAACAAGTCAAGCATTTCTGTACATTTTAAAGGAGTGCTGCTAACCAATGACAGAAATAGTAAGTTTAGGCTACGAGAGCTAATGATTATTGAGCATATTTTAGAACAAACCACAAGACATTTCTCTTTTTGTGGGTGTTACAAGCCTTATATACATTATCATATTTAATATTCACAGCAATTCTCTCAGGTAGGCATGATTATTTTTTCTCTTTTACCATTGAAAGAACCAAGGTTTTAGAGTAATTAAATGGTTTGATTGGGATTAAAACTTAATCTGCCTGACTTCAGTAATTTACGTCATTGACCACTGTGCTGTAGTGCAAATTTAGACCTCATATACCTAATTTTTTCTAGAAGTCACCAAATACAGGAATATATTTTCAATATGCAAAAATCAGTGTTCTCCAAAAATACATAAACATAATACATGCTCGTAGTTCAACAGAGGTCTAGATGCAAATGAAACATTTAAAACATTATTTCCCAGTACACTTAGAGTTGGTATCAGGTGAATTAGTGCTATCTAGTGACACCCAAATGGCTATAAATCCATGCAGTTTCCATAACAGCATATGGCCAAGCTATGAATGTTTAACATGTTCAGCAAGTAATCTCATTGGAGTTCTGTTTAAAATTACATTTGCAGCTGAAGAGAGAATCCGGCCTAGTTCATAAGAGAGGCCAACACTTAGCAAAATGAAAAATAAGTTTGAAAATTTTGCAAATAGATAGAGCAAGTATAGGATAGATGTGCAGAACACATTTTATGACGGCATTGTTCCACATTGATACTACTTAAATATTTTGAAACTGATATATTTTGGCAATGAATATATAGACTATCACCATATGTCACAGATTCCTGGCCTGAAATATTGTAGTCATTTAACATAAAACTCACAGGAATATAACATTCTTGGTAGTCACTGGAGAGGAAAATATAGGAACTCATTTCTGCCAATTGTAGATACCCATGGTCATTTTCTCATTTTCCTTTCATGAAAATAAGTGTTTTAAAAAGACTGAGAAAGGGGGCAGCTTTAAAAGAACAGTGAACTTAAATGAGTAATGAGAAAGTTGTTTTTGTCATTTCTTGTCTTGTGGATACTCAGAAGAGCCATCTCTGAAAAATCACTGATATCCTGAAAAAATGCTTCAAGTAAGAGAAATAGGAACTCAAGAGACCATGTGTTCCTTACTCCAACAGTTTCAGAAGACATTGTTTCGACAGCTATTAACTTTCCTTTCATTTGCTAAGACAGAATTCAAGGAAAAGGCAAATGACAGGGACTTGAGTTCACTGGTTCTACTGAAAACTACAGTTCCAGGAAATCAGTGTACGACTCAGTTTAATGCAACAAACATATCCTGTACAGGTACCATATTGCAAAACACAGTACCTGGGGGTGTGGAGGTGGGGACTAAATGTATAAAGATACAGAAAGCATGGTCTTAAAAGAATAGTTACCTAGTCATCTTAATTCTAACAGATAATTAGTGTTCATTTATTCACATATTGTCTTTGGTTGCTTTTGCACTGGACAGTAGACTTGAATGGTTGCTACAGAAACCATATGGCCCTCAAAAACTAAAGTATTTACTGTCTGGCCCTCTATAGAAAAAGTTTGCCAACCTCTGGTCTAGAGGATGAAGAAATTACTTATCTGCTTCTTCCTTTAAACATTATATGACATATTTCCTTTTCTGTATTTATCAGTCAAAGAGATACTCTCCAAGCTCTTTGGAAAGTCATAATACTTATGCATTGAACAAATATTTATTGAGTGTCAGCTGTGTGCCAGGAACTTTCTAGGTGCATGGGATTCATATCAGTGAACAAAATGAAACAGAAATCTCTGCCTTTTTGTTGTAATTGGAGTAGATTCATGTTTTTGTTGTTGTTTTTCTAAACACAGCATTCATCACACATTTATTGGATTTCTAATGCAAACCAAGGCACTGTGCTAGGAGCTCAAGAGAATGGCATAATAAGAAAAAACATTTCCAACCCTTAGGAACCCTTCATAAAAATAACTGTAGTACAGAAGAGAAAAGGGCTAAGTGCTTTAAAGGTGGCCCCAATAAACCACATTGGGGGTTCAGAGGAAAGAAAGATGCTCAAGTATCTTTTGAAAAGAGATTTATGATGACAAGCCACAAGAAAACATTTATCCACATCTCAGTTTGGGAGAGAATCACTATTAGAATTTCAGTTGTAGATTCTATTACTGTTGACAGACAAATCACTGTTGGAATAGCAGACCATGTTGGCAACTGGTTTCTCTTATGTTGTTGCTGTTGTAAGAAGGCACTGACACATCCAGCATGACCACACTGCTGGTGTTGGGAAGGGTTAGCAGGAAGTGGGCAAGTTGGGTTCTCTGTCAATCAGTCCAAGGCTAGAGCCATCTCCTCTGTTTATTCTTGTGGCAATCACCAGGACAGAAAATGAACAGCTTTCTAGAAACCTGTCAAGATTTTGAGCAGGACCAACATCCACAATTATGAGAGCATAATGTAATATTTCCTTAAGTTCACCAAGCTAACTGGACAAAGCCTGATCTAAAAGCTTATATTTATAAATCATTTCAAAGCTAAATCTAAGACATTTTCTCTGTCTTGGTAGACAAGAGAAGCATTTCATGGCCTCTCTTTCATCAAGCCTAATTGGATTTCTGTAGGACGTACAGGCTTCCTTCCTGTCTCAGCTGTTTCAAATAGAACAGAATGTTCAAAAGTCAGCCAGTAACACAGCATTGCTAATTTGAATTCACAGAGGAGGATGATTTTGTCCAAAACATCTCCATTTATTACCTTTACCCATACTAAATATATGGTTTTAATTAACATTGGAATTTTTTTGTAAAATTGCAGAAGGCATGTTTATTCCCCATCCTTCCTCCCCTTGAAAGAAAAGTCATGATTTTTAACTTCTAGTTGAAGAGTTAGTACGCAGTTTCTTTTTAAATAAACAGATGTTTTACGGGATAAGACGAGGTAGGCGAGGAAGCATTAATAATGGCTTTCAGTAGAGTCTACAGAAGCAGAGTTTGCCAAAGCCCTGTCATATTTGCTCAATGTAAGCATGTGCGTGATATAAATACATGTTTTGTTCCTGGAACTCATTTCTCCCTCATTGAATCTTTGTGATTTGTTTATACCTTGCTCACAGCAATTAATGGCTGTTAGCACTTCTCTCTCAAGTCAGCTATTTCTGTACATATCTTAAATCTTCTGTAACAGTAGCTTCTAAAGCACGCTATGTATAATTCCTGGTACAATTCAAGATTATAGGTGATGCATAAACATTTTTATTTTAATGACTATAAAAATATGTTACTAATGAGTTACGTTAATTTTTACGGATATTGTTTAGGAATAGTAGTGGCAACCATGGGGGAATTTGAGAGAGCTTTAACCCTACAATACTCCAGTTATCTCATTTATAACTACTCCATGCTTTGATAAGAAATTGTATGTTAGCTGATATGCCAATACAGCTCTGTGCTTCTCTCTATCCTTTAAGCCTCCCCTATACAGAGATTGAGAATGCAAGGTGAATGTAAAAGTAAACAGTAGTAAAATTGTAGGTGAACAATGACATTTGAGAAATGCTCTTCTACTAGATTGTACGGGCTTCTGAAGGCAAGCACTGCCTTGACTCCAAAATATACAGTGAGGATACAATACATGTTAAATTGGTGATTTTAAAAAC